AAGAGATCAGAGGCACCTAAAGGAATTCTTTAAATTCTAGAAGATCCTGATTGTGAATCCAGGGCACCCTCGAAGCTTTTTATGAACTTGATCTCAAATCTAAATGTGATTGGTTTTTATTAACTGAGATGCCACTATATTTAAACCATCTATATTATTGTTTTAGTTTGTTAAAACCAAAACCCCTGTGTGGTTTTATACTGTGTGGTCTACATTCTCAAAAAAGCCCCCTCCCCTGTTTTGTATAATGAATTCTGCTGCAAATTGGGCAAGATGTGGCAATCCTAAATGAACACAAAATCATTTGATAACCTCAAGCTTCAAAGAAATCATTCACAAAAAAACAAAACAACCCCAAACATCACACTGTTCAGCATAAATGTAATTAGTGCTTTCTTTCTTTGATTTCCTGTTTTTTGCACTGTGGCAAAAGAATAGGTCCTCTTATGTGCTGTCCTCTGGAAAACCTCAGTGTTAGGCAGCAAATAGGTTTGTTTCCAATGCATTTTCATTATACATCAGCAGAGGCTGGGATATGGTTAATACAAACCTGTGCTACTTCAGCCAGCTTTGGTCTTATAACAAAATCACTTTCCAGAAATGCATTGGCTAGGGACAGACATTCAAAAAGCCTGAGCATGAATTGATTCAGTCTTTGCAGGTTAGTCTAACCTGCAGAGAGTGAACTGGTTTGCAAGTGGATAGATGTTTGGCACATGCCTGCAGTGACTCAAGTCAGAAGCCTGGGGGCAGCAGAACAGCCCTCCCTTCCACAGGGACACAGAGCTGAGGAAGTGGCGGGTATCGCCAGGCTCCACCAGCTCCCTGACACCTGGGAGCAATCCCAGCACACAGGGCTGCCCAGCCCCAGAGGGGAACTGTTCCCCTTCTTCCCTCTCCCCCACCGCTATAGGGCCAGGATGGTGGCCCTGTTCAGTGCTGGGGGGGAAGGGGGAGCTGTTCTCCCTCCTCCCCCCCCCCACCCCGGTGGTAGGGTGGAGGAAGGTGGGCTTTGTGAGGCTGCCTGGCCCCCAAAGGAGACTCTTCCCCCTGCTTCTCCCCCATCTCTGTTGTGTGTGAGGCTCTATGAGATGCTGCCAAGCCCTAGAGGGAGACTTTCCCCCACTCCTCCTCCCTTGCAGTGGGGGAAGCCCCATGCTGGAGCCAGCTGCTTCCTCCAGTCTCTGCTGTGCAGGGCCCTGCACGCTGCCAGGAGTAGAGGGAGCCCCACCCCCTACTTCCCCATAAAGTCCATCATGGGGCTTCACCGTGTGACTGCAGAGATGCAGGTGTGGCACGGAGCTGTGACAGAGGCAGCCAGTGCTGCGCTGGGGATGAGAAGTGTAGACCCGCGCAGCCTGCCCGACTGCTTCTATCCCCGCACTTGCAGCTCTGCATTCGCGCAGGGAAGCTCCATGCTGGACTCTGTGAGGAAGCAGGAGGTAGGGCTCCCTCCACTCCCAGCACAGTGCAGGGGCCTGCACAGCAGGGACTGTGGGAAGCAGCTGGCTCCAGTGTGGGGCTTCCCCTGCTGCAAGGGCTAGAGCTTCACGCTCAGCCTCAGGGAGCAGAGCCACAGGGATAAGGTAGGTTCTGTTCCCCCTGTGCAGCGCTGGTCAGAGCCATGCCCGCACCAGGCACAAGCGCCCCGACCTCCCCACCTGCTGCCAGGCAGTGGGGGCTGCATGCCATGGGGGAATGTGTGGGGGTCCCTACACACCACACCCTGCCCAGCTGAGCTCCATGCTCCCGCTGCCCAGCTGGGGGGAGGAGGAAGCGTTCCCCCCAGCATGGAACAGAGCCTCCCCCTCCCCCTGCCCCTGCTCTGGAGCTTGACAGCATCACATGGAGCCCCATCCTCCCAGCCCCGCAGTGGGGAGAGGGGAAGGGAAGGAAGAGGAAGAGTCCCCCACACCATCTTGGGAGGAGGAGGAAGAGAAAGAGTCCCCCCTCAGCACCCAACAGAACCCCACTCCTAACCCTGTGGGACAGCCTACCCAGCATGTCCCCACTGAAGGTGAAGGGGGCAGGGAGAAGGGTTAATTCCTCCCTCCCTCCCCTGCAGCCAGGGTCTGCCAGCTCCAGGGGCCACCTCTGGAGTCCCCTCCCCTCTGCTCCTTAGCAGACAGGCTGGCCATGGTTGCGGTGGGGGAAGGAGGAAAGAACTAACCCCCTCCCTGCCTACTTTGCCTTAATGGGGCCATGCCAATCAGTGTCTCTGCTAGGGCCAGTCTCTATTCCGAGTAGAGAGCAGAGGGGCAGGGGCAGCCCTGCAGCTGGAGCAGAGAGCCTCGCCCATCCCAGAGAGCATGCCAGGATGCTGGGGGAGTCTGGTTTATCTTAAACCAGCAAGGGATCTGGGACAGACATTGCATAAACCAGTTTGAGCCTAGTCAGTTAAGTCTGATACTACATTCAACCAGGTTTCTATCAAGCCAGTTTCACCCTTTTCAAACGTTTATGTGCACTGAATGTGTGTTCTGTTACAGGTTTTAACCAGTTTCTGATCTCTTAAGCCAGTTTGTGTGTAATGTCTGTCCCTAGCCATCAAGATCTTTGCCAAACGCATAAGTCCTATCTTTGTTCATCTTTGGTCCTAAGCCCCCTTTCTACTAGCACACAATCCCACTCCGATTTCCAGGCAGTGGTGTTCTTTTCACCAAGGATGAGGAGCTCAAGGCAGGAGCTACATACCCCAAGCTTCTCCAAGTGGCGCCAGCGCAGGTTTTTTATTGGCCAGTTAATTTTATTGGATGCTTTCCTAGAGAGCTGCTACATCAGGTGATGTATTGGGTACAGCTCAGATACTATGGTGATAGTCATTTTATATCAACCTGAAAAAAAGAGTTTAGGAGATTCTGCCTGCTATCCATCTTGATCTGCATATGAGGAGCTCAGCAGAAAAGCCCATCATGACTATGCAATAGCTGTCATGGTAGATGTGTAGCCCTGCAGTCCTGCCTCTTAGAGCTATTTCAGTTCTCCTGCTATCTGTCCTATCATTGTAAGGGCAGCAGCACCAAGGTAAGATGCACATCTGGAAAGATTACATATGTGAGACTACATTGCACAGTCTTTTACACGTCCATATACTTAAGCACTATGTGTGAATACAAGATGTAAATGTTTCTAAAATGCTGGAATTTGAAGGGGAATGGGAACGTATGAAAAGTTTAGAAAAATGGCACAACCATGCCACATCTCAGTTCCAAAGAGACTGAGACAACTGACTTAAAATCGCATGTCTGGTGTACATTTGAACTTCAGCATGAACTGCAGCTCATTTCTTTCTACAAGGCATGAAAACAAGCATAAAACTGTGGTGTTGTCAAGTACACTCTTTATGATCTGTATGTTTTCTCCACAAAAAAAAAAAAAAAAAAATGCAAATCTCATCACTTCTCCCATCTTGATTTCACTAGAAATAAACTTATTTTCTGTCTGGCTAAAACACCCGAGGGCTGATGCTGTTAAGTGCTAGCTGATGTTACGAGTTAATTACGCTGCTTCACTTGCTATTGTTTCATTATTTTGTTGGGCAGATAATGTTCAGTGGTGTGCGAGAGCGATTAAAAGAAATCTCTTTTTTTTTTCCCCCGAGCTTTTGTGCGTCTCTTAAGCTGTGGTGAAGCATCCTTAATGCTTGCTCTCATTTCTTTCTGCCTCTCATTTATCAGGTACCTACCTTGCAATTATTAAACACTGTTCCCTGTTCTGCTCAGGTATTTCCTGTTGTTAAATCCCATGTTGTGTTCTGAAAAGCTCTAATCCCTCTCTCTGAACCTATTAGTTAGTCAGTAAACATTATACATAAAAGGGGAAGGACAAGATAAAATAATTTCTTTTCCATCTCTCCCTCTATTAGTTGTAATGCTGACTAATTCTGAAGTCCTTGAGCTTCAAGTGAAAAGCATACCATATAGCCATGTACAAGAATCACATGCTACAGTAATGACAGCATAAATTACTACAGATTTCACCAGAGGAATGCATCCTTTTGCTAAAAATATCTCTCTTCCAGCACAGTTTTTGTAGTTATTTATTGTATGATGGAAAAAATGCTTTCAATAGGACCAATTCAAAGCCCATTGAGAGACTTCCATACTACCAGTGCACTTTGGGTCAGGCCTCTTACAGGCACCAGCCTTGCGTGCCAATCCCTGTGGCGGAGGAGAGTGCAGAAATAGCAGCAGCTGTGCTTCCGGCACGGTCATTGTCTCCATCTGTGCACAACTATCACCCAGGGCACTCAAGTACCCAGTTATGCCTCTGTCCAGCACTAGCATAGCTCTGACTGCATCTCAACTTGAGGCCATTTTTCACATTCCTTCTTGCTCAGTCCCTTGTTCTTCCTCTGCCCTAGTGTTAATCTCTGCCACCGGGTAATATCGACTGGTAAACATACAAAACTGCTCTTTCTGCCAACTGAGCTGTGTAAACTAGTATCAAGCTTTCACTTCTCAAACAAAAATCAGGTGGGAAAACAAACTTCTCTAACTGCATCTGCAGTTTAGATTGTGAAGGGAGTCCTTTCCTTGTTTCTACCAGTGAGCGCACACTGCTATTCTGAACAACGCTGCTAAAAAGTCTATTTGTCCACTCCAACCATTAGCAATGAAGTGAGGTTTTTTGCCACTAAAATTTTCAGCAAAAGCCTAGTGCTTTGCTTACTCTCATAAATGTATTTATGTATTGCAGGCAGTAAAAGAATGAAAATGTTGTGCTTGTTCATGAACTGCTAAAAATGCCTCATGTA